TCTTTTTAATTGGGGAACTAACATAAGGTCCCCACTTTTAACTGTCTGTGCAGGAATGAGTTAACAAAGCAAGTGTTCAGCTGCTATCTTTAGGAAGGCTTGTTTCTAAGGTTGGCTCTTGACTGCCATCTGGGATCTTGGCTTTTAAAACATCTCCTAAGTGATAAAGTTATTACTGCCATGCCAGCCTACTTAGACTGTACAATAAGATTTATGATAAATACTTTCCTTTAGAGAGTCTGGTATTTTGGCTGATGAACTATACCTACAGGACCATTAATCAGTGAGAACCCTGAACACCTGAGTCTCAAATGGACCTCCCTGGGTAAACACACAGCACACTGTAACTGAATTTTCTTAAGGAGGTTATATTCTGGGCAATCCTTCTCAAGAGGGAAAGAACACAAGAAGCCTACATGTAGATTCCTCTACACTCTGTCTGAGGTCTTTCACCGCTAATGATCTGGCTGCATATCCTCACTGTGTCACTGTAATAAATCTTATCCATGAGCAGAATTCTATGCTGAGTCTCACGGATCCTTCTACGAACAATGGAAAGTGTGAGGGGTCTGCGGATCCCTAAAACATTGCCAAGCAATAATATTAAACAAGTAAACAAAAATACCTATCATCATCCCATAAAAGGCATTTTAATAAAATTCTGCCCTTCATTTTCACATTATGGAATTAATACAGGAATATTAAGAATCAAAGCTATAATTTTAAATGTAATAAATCTAGCATTATGGAAAATTTATTCCATTATCCCTATTTTTCTCATTTCGCTGCAGACTAATAATGTCATCATACAATATGAACTAATAATAGATACATACTTGAGAGCCACTGTTGTTGTTGTTGTGTGCCACTGAGTTGGAATCAGGTCATAGCTGACCCTCCAGAGGGGTTTAGAGGCTTTAAATTGCACAAGAAATTGGCCATCTTTCTCTTGTGGAGCAGATGGTAGATATGAACCATGTGCCTTAGGGTTGAAAGGGTAACTTCTTCAGTGCACTAGGCCACCTGAGTTCTCACAGGAACCACTAAGCTGAGACATTTTTGTCTGGATATGCCTTCCCTAAAACTTTCTTTTGGAAGAGAAAGTTAACAAAAATGTTACGTGTATAGGGCTAATCTTTAAAAAGCTAAGATTTTTTCATCTTGGAATCAGAATGTTTTCTAATCCTTTATTTTTAACTAATTTATTTTAATGAAAGTTCACAGAGACTCTGGATTTCTATTCAATCATACTTGCACACTTTGTTCCCTGCCCACCCCTCCCTCTAAGTTCACTTTTCTCATTGAAAATTAAAAAGAAATTTAAAAAAATTTCATTGTTATACAATCTCTCCCCACCTCCTCCCCAATCCACTCCACTATGCAGCTTTCATTCTGGACACTTGTCATGACAATAATACCTAATCATATATTCCTCCTAAATAGTTCTCTCCCTCATCTGTTTCAATGCAGTATAACTTATTTATCCCCTCTTAGTTTCCCCCCAACTCTGAGTTCAGTCCGTTTTACAACAGTGGCACTATACTGCTTCCCACCAAGGCATACTCCTAATCCTTTCTAAGATCTGTAAAGGAGCGCTGGTAGTGGAGTCCATAAGGTGATACACTGCTAACCAAAAGGTGGTGCATCTCCAATCGTTTGGCCCCAAAGGAATGCTGCAGAAGATGGGTAGTTTGCTCCTGTAGTGATTTACAGCCTTGGAACCCTGATGGAGTCTAGGAATAGCAGTGAGGGACTGAAGATCTATACAAGGAATTAACTATAGCAACAATGTGAAATGACCACTAGCTACTCATTTAAGTCATGTCCGTACCACCCAATACTTAAAAGTGTAAAAGCCCTTGACTGATTTAAGTAACCGCTGCCTGAGAAGCTTAGAAGGGTATACTGACTAAATGAGACACATACACAGATGCCATTAACTCCATATACAATGACAAATTCAGCTTTCACTTTTCACATGTGTGCACTTTTTTCTAGTATAAAGTCAATCCTTAACTCTAGTTTAGCATATATTAATTCATAAGAATTTTCAATTATGGAATGAGAGAAAGGAATTCCTTTTAATTCTAATCTATGCTTTCCTGCATTGAGGGAGGTGGGAATGAATTAAAATAACCAGGCTTCCCTCAATATGGGTATTTGCTGTGCTTATATATAATACATCATGGCTTCATACACAGTTTAGAATATAATTCTGCTCCTGTTTTATACTATGTCTTTATTTTGAAATGCAGATCATTTTATGGTTATAATGTATTTGGATTTATGATAAGCTGGATGATGTAATTTAGTTCTTTCACAATATATTCTTGTTCTTCACTTTACTACTTCCTCCTGTAGGATTAAGTTATTTTTTGGAAAGAAAATTTTTTTGGATGTTAGGTTAAAGTTTCTACAATAGTTTCTTATTCAACAATTCATATGTAATTTGTCTGGTGATAAAGGTTGCTATCTCCACAATGTGTCAGCACTCTCTCCAATTCTATCTTGTCTTTCCATTCTCCTACCCCTCTCTTTGCATTCCTTTAGGCAAGAGTTTTGTTTCAATCTTATACTGACTGTTTAAAAAACATATTCCTCACCAGTGTTACTGTTTATTTTACAATCTATTATTTGGATAAAAGTTGACTTCTAGAATAGCTTCAATTCCAAGATTACAGGGTGTCAACAGGGCTATATATAGTCTCTATCAGTCCATTAAGCCTGGTCTTTATGAATTTGAATTTTGTTGTATATTTTTTCTTCAATTTTAACTGAGACCTTCTAGTGTTACTTTGTCATAGTAGTCATTAATGGTAACCAAGCACCATCTAATTCTTCTAGTCTTAGGCTAGAGAAGAATGTGGCTGGTTTAGGACATTAGGCCTATCAATTAAGTGTTTCTTTGAGGTTCTGGTTTTCATTATTCTCCTATGATCCCAGTGGGAAGCAACCAATAGTTGTATCTTAGATGGCCATGCAAAAGCTTTTAAGCCTAAAGATACTACTCACTAAATTAGGATACAGAACATTATCTTTATTATTATTATTATTATGTGTGTGTGTGTTTGTACTGTCAAATCGGATCTGGCTGGTACAGGAGGAACTTGTGCCTCCTTCTTCAGCACAGCATCTGGCGGATTTGAACCGCTCACCTCTGAGATTGCAGTACAGCTTATTGCCACCAGGAGAACATTATCTTTAGGAACTACTTGTTATGTCAACTAACTTGTAGGTCCATGGAATCTATGATCCTTAGCCTTCAAGTCCAGTAACTCAGGGCCATGAGGTATTTGTATGAAGTTTCCATAATTATTCTCCCTATGAGCTCTGACTGCCAATCTGTTGGGAGTTTTGTGTCTAACTCAAAGGCCACAGCTCTCTAGATGTTAGAAGCCATGAGCAGCTCTGAGGGAAAAAGATGGGCAATCTCCTCCCATGTGTTTAATAGCCTCAGAAACCAAAGGAAGGGTGAAAAGTGAGTTTCAACTTGATGACAATGAGTTTGAGTTTTATGTATTCATTTTTAAATAGTTAGGGAAGATGAACTATATATAAATGTCATTATAAATGCCCACAGTTATACCTATATGCACACGCACATACTCTCATATGTCCTCCCATACATATACAGCATACAGATCCAGCTGTTTAACCACTTTTGGTTGCAGATACTATCTTTGCAGAACTGTACATGGTACACAATTAATTTACCGTCACTTTCTCTCTCACTACCCTTGGCACTGATATACAGCTGACCCTCCACTGGACTTCCAAGGCTGTAAATTGAAAGGGAAGAGACTACCCATCTTTATCGAAAGGAGGCATTAGTGGATTTGAAATGCCAACGAGGTGACATCTTTGTGTGAGCAGCACAACTTCCTATGGAGATTGCCTATGTAATCACTCACTATTTTTTGGTTGCACTTACATTTCTTGCAGAATTAAATGTGTTTTAACATTTACCATAGTGTCCTTTTTTCTCAGACACCTCTCATGTCTTCATTTATATTGGTCATGCTGTTCTGACTACTTCTTTATCATTGTGCTTTGTGCCTTTACAGATACATATTATTTTTTTCCATTCATCCACTGATGAACAAAGATGTTTCTCCCTTTTTGTTATATGATTATGTTACAATGAACTTGGGTCTGCACATGTCTATTCATGCCCCTGGTATTATTTCTCAAGGTAATACACCATGGCATAAGGGAATTAGATCATACAGCACTTTTACTTTTCACTCTTCTGAGAACTGTCACATCATTTTTCATAGAAGTTCTATCAATTTACAATTCTACCAAGGCTGTATAGAGTTCCAATCTCCCTACCACCTGACAGAATTTATTTTCTGGGGTTTTTTTTTTTTGGCAGTGCCATTTTTACAGGAGTGAGATGGTATTCTGTTGTACTTTTCATATGTAGCTCTCTAAAAGTTAATGACTGTGAGTATGTTTTCATCCATTCCTCAGTTGATGGGAGGCTATTACACATTAATAATTTAGTTTCAAGATATTTTAGGATTTGCAGTCTTTCTGCCAGTCAAATAACAATGATAAAAGAGAAAACAACAAATAAACAAAACTTCATGGAAACAAATTAGCTTAGACAGTGATTTTTTTCAGTTCTCAAAACCGATTGTTTTTATAAAACAAACCCTAATCTTTCAAAATTATCTACAGACCACTACATTCTTCATCTTTCCTAACTAAATAACACATTACCTATTCTCACAGTTCACAATTTTTAAAAAAAATTTTATTATTTTTGTGTGTGTGCACCATCATACGGGAGATTGCCCTCCTTCTCCAGCAGAGTCTCTGATGGATTCAAACCTCATACCTCTGGGTGTGCAATACAACTTTCTGCCACTAGGCCACCAGAGCTCCTCAGTTTACAATGTTTTAAAAAATGACATTACATTAGAAAAGAAAATTTTGCACATTAATATACCTTAATGTTTAATTATACTTCTTTAATATAAAACTGACTTACAAACCTTTTGTTGTAGTTCTTTTATAGCAGAATCTCTATCCATGCATGCCTGTCGAAATGCTTCATAAGCTTTATTGAGTTGCTCACCAATGTTTTTATCCATTCCTCTGTGTCCTGTAGCATCACTATAAAGGATAGAGTATATGACAGGTCTGAAAAAGAATCAGAACAATTCAGTTACATAAGCTTCATCTGAAGAATGCATTTTAAGACATGTCTATCAGGTCCCCGGGTAGGACAAATGGCTTGCACCTGACTACTAACTTAACAATTGATAGTTTGAACCCACCCAGTGGCACTCCAGAGGACCTGACCATCAGTTACAGTTAAAATTACAGCCAAGAAAACCCTTTAGAAAACCCTACTCTATAATGCATGGGGCATGAGTTAGAATAAACTTGATGAAAATGGTACTTTATTTTTTAAATAAAGGTTTGCAATGAATTTTAAAAATCTTTAGGCTTATATAGGTATACAAATCTCATCTAAAATCTAGACCAAAAATATGAAACCTTTACTTATGAAATATTTTTAAGCATTTTTTACAGATGTGTATTGAGCAAATAGTGTTTTAGTTCATTAAAATGCTACTTTAGAAATAGTAATCTATAAATGCAACCTAAAAAGAAAAAAATCTAAAAAGTCATTTTATTATTAATACTTTATTATAGAAGTGCATAACGGGACTAGCAATGTGGGAAGGGATTTCTTTTTACTAAACGGACAGTTACTCCCACTTATAAGGTGAATTCTTGCTACACTGAAATTAGAGCAAAATTAAATAGATAATAAATGTTTGTGGATGAAGTTCACACTGTTGTTATCACAGAGCAATTAAAATGTGTGAAAATGCTCTTATTTTAGCACAAAATCTAGGGAGAGCTGTTGCTGGATTGTACATTAAAAAGGAAAATCACATCCCTCAGTCCTTCCCCCACTCCCTATTAATTTTCTAACTTCCCTGCTGTTTCTGAACTACAGGTAATTTGTTCAGGGGAAGCTAATTTGGTTTTATCATATCGGTTTGTATAACATCTTAAACCACATTCCTTGACTCTGAGGAGAGGGCTATCTAATGATTCCAATTCTTCCTCTACAACAGTAAAAATCACAATTCTGAGCCTTTTTCTTCATCTTCTAAGAGATACAGAGTACTAGACAAAGGGTTTTTTTCAATCAGTCATCACTATTTTAAGGTTTATGAACTATTTTACTTTGGAAAGCCAACATAATTCAGTTCCGATCTTGTCTTTCCATTTTGTCTTTGGGGAAACACACAAAAATACATTTAAAAAAAGAATTACTATTTTAAAATGATATTCATTCACAACATAAAATTCACTATTTAAAAAAGACTAGGAAGCACCTGACCCAAGCCATGGTCTTCTCAACTGCTTACTATGTATCTGAAAGCTGGACAATGAGTAAAGTGCTCCTTGCCTTTAAGGAGCACTCTTGTTTGCAATTCCTCCAAGAAACACTTGCTTATTCTTTTGGCAGTCCATGGAAGATTCAGTAATATTCAAAAGGACAATCCAAAGGGATAGATTCTTCCTAGAGTATCAGAATAATAGTTACTTGGATTTTACTGACTATGCAAAATTCGACTGTGGTGGTGTTAAATGCTGTCAAGTTAAGTATGACTCATTGTGACCTTATGACCAGATCTGAACCCTGTCCTATCCTGTGCCATAATCACACTTCCTGGCACACTAGAGCCCACTGCAGCAGTCACTGTGCCAATCAAGCTGGCTGAAGGTCTTTCTCTCTTTCACTGACCCTCTACCTTTCCAAGAACAATGTCCCTCTCCAGGGAATAGCCTCTCCTAGCAACATGCCTAAAGTATGTGAGACAAAGCTTTATTATCTCTGCCTCCAAGGAGCATTCTGGTTGCAATTTCTCCAAGACATATTTGTTTGTTCTTGTGGCACTCCATGGGATATTCAGAAGACACCACAGCGCAAAGGCATCTTGAGACATCAAAGGCATGAAGAGACTTGATCAATCACATGAAGATTTGGTCATGTAGATCATAACAAATTATAGATAAGAATGAAAAGAATAGGAATTCCAGATTACTTAACTGTGTTGATGAGGAACCTGTACACCGATTGAGAGGAAGTCATTTGAACAAGACAAGTGAATACGCCATGGTTTAAAATAAAGAAAAAGTATGTCAGTTTTCCTTCTATTATGGTTTGTATGTTGAGCAAATAATCCTACAAATAGGACTATATGAAGAATTTGGCATCAAAGACAGAAAAAAAGCCTCAATATCCTGCAGTAAACATATGGCTTGCTTGCTGAAAACAAGAGAATTTGAAACAGTAGTGAAGATCAAAGACTAAAGCTTCTAGGCAGGGAGAAAAGTGCAACAATGAATGAATGAAAATCCAAAATATCTGTAAATGTTCATTAAAATTAATAAAACAAAATTTAAGAAAAAGAAAAAAAAAGAATGTTGAAATGGAAAAAAAGACTACAGCTTTTGGTATATATGTATATAGATTAAATGTCAACACGTTGTTGTTGCTGATTGCCTTTGAGTTGAGCATGACTCATAGCGACCCTATGAACAAAAGGTCTGAAGCCCCTGTACAACTATCGACATTTATCAAAGTTCATAGAGTTTCTGGAGGCATGTTATTTAGAAAGTAGATGTCACTCCTGCTTCTTTATACCTCAACATAAAGAAAATGAAATTCTTTACAATGAGACCTATAGAGAAAAAAATTGATGTTCTCAAGGATTTCAATTTACATGAAGCCATAATCAATGTAAGTCCATGGAAGTAGCAGTCAAAGAATCAAATAATGTATTGCATGGGGAAAATACAAAAGATCTTAAAAGGTGTCATTTGAATGGTTAAGTATACCTGATTCAGCCATGGCATTTTCAATAACTTCATATGCATGCAAATGAAGAAGACTGAAGAAAAACTAATGCCTCTGACTTATGACCTCATGAAGAATATAAAATATACCACAGACTGTAAGAACAACAAACAAGTCTGTCTTAGAAAAAGCACAGTCAGTAAGCTCCTTAGAAACCAAAATGGTGAGACTTTATTTAAATAACATTCTTTGGACATGTTATTAGGAGGAATTAAGTTCTTTGAAGAGGGTATCATGCTTGGTAAAGTAAAAGTCAAAGGAAGACCCTCAACGAGATAGATTAACACAGTGGCTGGCAATAGTGGGTTTAAATATGGCAACGATTATTAGAATGGCACAGGACCAGGCAAGTATTTGGTTATACCAGCTGCTCTGTGGGAGAATGATGGGCAATCTCCTCCTGAGATTTAGTGACTCTGAAAATCCAATGGAGGGTCAGCTATGAATCTGTTCCAATTCCATAGCACACAAAACCAAATGGACAATGATATGTACATCTTTTAAGAAATCTCTATTCAGAACCCATATTGTAATTAGGTTGTGTTTTAATAGCTGGGTTATAACAGTTGTTCATACATTCTAAAACCTTAA